ATTCTTCTCTGGGTTATCGGATTATACTGCTCCAGTTTGAGTAGATTTTAATTCATTTTTTTTCATTGCTCTTAGACAAAGAAGTAGCAAAAGTCTTTCAAACTTTGTACCAACCCTGTAATTATTTTTTCTTTTTTACTTTTTTGAAATCCTTCTAATGCCTGATGTTCCTGTAACAGAATCCTCAAAATTGAATGTACTGTTCACAGGATAAGGATTCCAGATCTGTATTCTAGTACAGGTTTTGTTACAGGATTTCAGTTCTTTATACATCATCTGATTGGTGAACAGAGAATCTCTAAAATACTTTAGAAAGTGGTTAATGGCCAGGATTTTAAAATGTAGTTAAGCTTAAAGTTGTAGAAAAAATACATTGCATAAATTCTGTGATCCTTTGAAATTTGCATTTGTTGTGAGAAAGCTTAGTACTTTACCATCATACATGTGCATGGTGTAAGCTGTATAAGTAAAATCTTTGTTATATGCTCTAGCTAGGATAAATCTGTCTTACCATATATGTCTTTATACTGTGTTTTTTTGTGATACGTGTCTGTTATCTCCAGGAAGTTTACCCTAGCAAAGGTTAGGAAACCTGTATATCTTTTAAGAATGAGATTCCAGTAAGTGAAGTTGGTTGGTTGCACAGATAAAGAGGAAACAAAATGGTACATTTCCAGTTGTATCACTTGTGCATTCCAGTGGTTGGAATAGGTTGTTTTATATACATTTAGTGTGAATACTGTAATTATAAGTTGTTACAAAACTGACTTCTTTCCATGTTTATTATCTGCTCTTTTGGATACATTCACTTAAAATAAGTTCTTGTGTAAAGAAAAAGGTATTTCTAGCAAGTGATCAGAAGAGATTTTGAAATAAAATTGTATGGCCAGAAGTCTGACAGTAGTTCAGTGAATGAATACATTTTAACTGCATGGATTATATATACTTTAAAGACTTCTCCAGAATGCAGCTACTATTTTCAGTATATAAATACCTGTGTTACTAATGTCTTTATAAACAGGCAGCGTTTTATGGGATTGGACTTACTTGTCTTTAATGATAGAGTTAATTTTAGGTAGGCAGAAATTTTTTTGCAATCCAGCTCTTTGATAATTTAATCATTTCCTGTATGCCATGAGGTATTTGCAATGGCTTTGTTGTGAAATTGATGGAGGGATTTCTCATGTAGCAGTAAAATTTCTCTCAGCTTCTAGCCGTAGTTGATAAATATATCAACTGAAATTGCTGAAAGAGAGGGAAAACTGACGCAACTGGGTGTAGCAGCATTGTTATGAGATTGGTAAGGATCTGGGCATGAGAAGAGGAACTCAAAGAGGGGAAAAGATAGAGACACAAGAAAAGAAAGACCTAGGCAATTTATCTCACCAGAGACAGCACCTTTCCTCCGTCACAGACAAGCACTGCTTCCAGAAAAGCAAGTTCAGGCATCAGAAGGTGGCAGGAACAATATTGGAGGGATGAATCACCCGAATTAATGTAAGGGGTGGGGGAGCAATTGGAGCATATTCCTAATTTAACATTTGAATTCCCCATTTATTAGTCAGAGCTACAGCATCCCTTCGTGGGTGATTTTGCACATAAATACTGCAGCACATATTTCTTTTTCATGGACAGTCTGAGGACAGATAGTGGTTTTTGCTTTTTTTTATTTGTTTGTAAACAAACATTAAAATAATGTTGTCCTTACTGTTTTTACCTTTTTCATTTGAGTACAGTTGATGTTTGCATATGATTGCAGTAGAAATTCTCAAAAAAAAAAAAAAATCTTTGAGGTCTAGCAAGAATATTCCTTGTTACCAGTGTGGAGGTTGTAATTTACAAAACTGAAAACAGAATTACTCCTCACCAGTAAATAAAAGTTACTACTTCACTAGAATTGCATCCTCAGTGTTTAATTCAAAGGAAAATTCAGTGCTTGTTCATACAATGTGTCTATGTGAGAAATTTTGCTTGAATTTGTAAACAGTGACTGTCTTAATCATAGCTGAGCTATTAGTTGTTTAGAAATGAGACTTGAACCTCTTGTCTTGATTCTGTGATGTTTCGGACTGTTGAATACCATAAACTGTTGTGTAGCCCTGAAGGAGGAGTTAGAACATAATGGCAATGGTTGAGTGAATGCACGTAATACACAAACAATATGGTATAAAATATACTGTTCTCTAGAGGCAGTTAATTGCAGATTGGTTATGTGCATAGTCACAATTAATGTAAAAACCTGAAGGCGTCTCTTGAGTATAGTGCTTTCTAGAACATGGAAGAGGATTTGACATATTTCAAACCTGTCCTAACCAGCTAGGTCATAGAGATATCTTACTGGTTTTTATACCAGTGCTTTTCCTGATGACATTTTTCAATGACTGTGAAACAGTATTTCTTTGGTAGCAGAAAAATAAGCAGAAGCTTCATTTACAGGCTGGATGCAAAAACTGGTATTTTCTCATTACGGTAATATCTAGAATAGCTCTCCATCACAAAACTTTGTTCTGTCAGAAGCTCGTAGTTTTTTAACCTCCATATATGCTTTTTGGTTTATCACTAAAGAGTACATTACATTTACGTGAATGTTGCTTTCAGAGAAATTAGCCTGTCAATGTGATGGGCTATTTGTCAGCATTGTCTGTGCTTGGGCCTTTCTGTAAACAGAATTTTTATAGAAAATGGATTTGTCATATGTCATTACTATGAAAAAAATAGTTTCTCTTGTTTCATGAACTAGCCTTGCAAGACTAAATGATGAAAACTCAGACATTATTTGGAAAAAAAAGTCCATTTCATATATCAATGATTTCTGTATTAGATTTGTTTGCTTCTTAATTATATCAGTCAGTGGTATGTGAGCTCAGCGAAGTTGAGTCTGTCCTCACAAGCAAAGTAAAGCATGAAACACATAAGCAAGACAAGAACATTCAATACAGTTTTTAAACTATACTCTAATTCTATAATTCTTAGACTAGACTATAAGTCTAGTGAATAAATGTGGCATCCAGTGGTTAGACTGTTTCTGAATTCTGAAAAGTGGAAGGGGGAGGGGGGGTGTGTCCAAGAAGCAGTTAATTATTTATATTATTTGTGTTGAGGATAAGTGATTTCTGAAGCTATGAATTTGGAAAATAATTGGTTTTGTCTTTTTTTTTTCTCCTTTTTTTCCTCCTTTCTCTTTGCTCTGTAGAACCTAAATAAACTCAGCTTGCCAAATGAAATTGAGATATCTTTCTGAATTAAATCTCCATGGAGGGTGGTATTCATAGTGCAAATAGCTCATAAATAATCATTCTCTAATTAGAGTGAAATCAGTCACAGAGTTGGTGGAATGTTCCTTTCAGGCTACACTTTGTATGAACTCTGCTGTGGGTTCATGTGCATCCCACACGCATGGATTGCCTTTTTATGTTTGGGTGCATCTATTGGGAATGCATCTGTATCCCAGGTGCCCTGATTGTGTAAGGGACAAACCAGGACTTTTTTTTTCTTTGCATACAGCACTGAGACAGAAACCTAGTAATGCCCACTTAACATCTTATCACTAAGTTAGATAGTTGGTGGGGAGTCTTTTAAATTTCCCTATGTACTAACTTGCTATGACTTAATCAAGATCCGAGGCTTCAGATTTGCTCCTTCTACTAAACTGCTGAACTGTTACATTCTGGATTCTTCAGATGGCTCTCTTGCATTTGTGAAGATCACATTTTTGACAGTGGCGTCATCTGCTGCTTCATGTGCAACTGAATATATGATTTCTCTTGTGCAATTTCAAGCTCTTCTATTGGAGTACTTAATTAAATCATTATTGCACTCTTGAAAACAGAGAATTTATCAGCTTCAAGGTATGATAGCAAATTCCTGATCTCATCCATCATTTCAAAAATTAAATCTCTTGACAGCTATTGGGAAGAACAGTGGACATACCAGTATAAAACATAATTAAAAGATAATGATAAAGCACCAGCTCGGAGAGAATGAGTGAGCATAGGTGTACTCTTCAGGCTCTGTAAGAATTAAGTGAAAGCCCTGTTCATTTCAGTAAAGTTGATGACTAGCAACCGACTGGTAGCCTAGATTTGCTTTCTTTGATAATGCGGTGTTGTATTTGGGCTGCTTCCCAAGCCAAAATTGGTATTGTAGTATGGTTGGTGCGCGTATTACTTTAGTGCCCAGTACTCTTGCATTGGTCTCCATTGCCTGTGTTTTCAGTGCCGATTGCAAGAGTTGCTAGCAGTGTGCAAACAGTGCAAGAGAGGAAGTCTTAATGTGAAGTACGTCACTCCCAGGTGGAAGCCCCATAAAACAGTGGAGCAAGCCAAGCCAGGGGATCACCTGAGGAGGCACTTCTTACTGTAGAAAAGAGGCATCTATCATACACAAGGAACAAAACTAGGTAAAATGAGTTTTCTAGGGTACGGATTTAGATAATTAGACAAGATACCAGCAGTGGAGGAGAAGCAGTGTCTTAGAACTCTGAAACCAAATGAGCTGTCAGAGTGAAAACTGAGAAGAAGTGGTAGTGTTTTACAAAAATTCACTTGTCTTTTTGTTTTGTTTTGTTTTGGGGTTTTTTTTTGAGTGAAGGACAGTTGGTTTAGCAATTATTTTATAATACCTATGTTTCCAATTTTGTTACTGAAAGCAAAATAATAATAACCCAAAGTGCAGCAGTGCTGAAATACCATGCAAGACCCCTGGGGAGGATTAGAAGAGCAGGTGTTGATTAATTCAGGATTTAGATTGAAACAATCTGATTTTTAGGATGGAATGTTAGGAGATGAGAGAATTTCTTAAAGTTGTGTTATCCTTGGAGAGGCTGCTTTATAGTATATACCGTTTTAGTTTGCGGATGTGTTCTCAGACTCTTTTACAGTTGGACTTTTTTTTTTTTTTCCTCCAAAGTGTTGTGCTTAATGAGCTTTTTTTAAAATCCAGGAGGAAGCTCTAAACCCAGATATTGCAAAGCTCAGAGGAAGGGCATTTGGATCATGCTCAGTGTGCAAGGAACTTCAGATAATTTCTGGAAGATCTAATTGATCCTTTATGCTTTAGTGTCTGCTGTGTCTTTTTCAGCTGCCTTGGAATCTACGTATTTGAGCAATTGGGGTCAAAGCTACCAGTCTGGCAGAACTTGGAGCCTGTAATCTCAGCTTCCAGCTGTACTCCCTGCTATTTGTATTAATGTGGTTCGTAGTACACTAGATGCAAAAAATACAAGAACTTGTCTTCTAAAATTAGAAGTATTTTTTTTCTTTCTGTGTATTTATTTTATGAAAGTTTTTGAAAGTTTTTCCCAGTCATTCTTTTACTTTGTTGTGTATTATGCTATTGGTAAATATGGTCAGTTTTTTCTGCTGTGGTTTCCCTTACAGGTGTGACCCAGACGTACTCTTGTTTCTCTCATCCATTGGCAGTGTCATTTTTTACTCTGTTTTCTAATTGAGTTGATCTAAGTGAATCCAGCTGCTATGCTGCCAGAGAACAGGGGGGGTGGGGGGTTTTTTTTGTTTTTTTTTTTTTTTTAACACCAGGACTGTAGGGCACCAAATACAATTGTCAGGCAAAAAAATAGCTGAAACAGATCTCGTCACTGGAGATCAAAAGTAAAAGTGTGTTCAAGCGATTGTGCAAATGAAAGTTAATTGAAGCTATTAAACACATTTGCATGGGAAGTCCTTACATTTTTGATTGGCAGAGACTAGGAGGGAAGTAATGTGTATATGCATGTCACTTTTCTTGTCATATTTCTCTGAAAACCCATTGCTAACTACTTCTAAGGTAGATGTTCTTAATTTACACTGTATTCTGTTGTTGCCTGATTAGGTTATAAGGGAGGCTGAGGTGGGTGTTGTGCTGCTCTGTTGCCAGGTTCTTTAATGGAGATGCTTAGCTATGCAAAAGTATTAGAGGTGTTTGAGAGAGAGACATTTTGCATTTGGAAAACTGAGGAACAGAAGTATGAATGGCTGGTCTAAGATTCCTTTGAGTTTCATGCAAGGTTTAATTTAAGAGTCAGTGTGTACTAGTTTCATATACTTCCTGTTTGATACTAAGACTGTGTATTCCAAGACAAGAGGGATTGTGGGTGATCTTGTTCAATATGTGCTACAGTATCAATAGTATACATGGTAGGGGTAGGCTTATGTTTATTTCTGCTTCCTAACTTACCTTCGTTTGATCCTCCATGCAATCCTCCAGTATGATTTCTTGCAGTTTAGAAATTATTTCTGATGAGTAGTTATAACTATGTTACTTTAGATTTTTGTAGAAGTTCTGTTTAATGTACTTTTTTCTTACTGAGGTTTTTTGTATTCACTCTGTATTGTTCCTCCCCCCCCCTGCCTTTTATCAGTAACAGAAGTGTAGATTTATTGTCTTGTAGGGGTTAGAAGGAGAATGTGGAGAGTCAGCCTTCATCCTACAGGAGTCTGTATTGCTGCATTGTTTAGTTCTGCACACTTGCATAGTTCAGCAAATTTATCACATTTAGTGTTCTTCAGAAATAATCTTTTATGCTTTATATGGGAGAAGGAATTTGTGGCATTTCAAATGACAGAAGTCCATAAGACTTTCTTCTCTCTATTTTTCTTTTTTTTTTTTCTTTTCTAATTCTGCTTGTTGATTCTGGTTTGTCCTGTGTTGCAGGCGATTATCTGGCACAATAGATGTGATTGGACAGACCATCACTATCAGCAGGGTGGAAGGACGACGGCGTGCTAATGAAAACAGCAACATACAGGTTTTATACTGCAGATTTGCACACTATCTTTGACAAAAATACTTTTTTGCTTTCCCCATAGCTTCTTATTAAAACATTTCCGTGTCTAAGAATGGGTAATGCAGGAGTCGCTTTAAGTTCAGGAAGAAAGTTCTGGCAGTTGATTTAAATATACTATGATGAAATATTTGTTATATTTCAAAAGATAGATGTTTTGGTGTACTTCTTACTGAAAGGAAATTAGCAATGTTGCAGACTTATAATACAGGTGACAGCATTGGCTCTGCTAGATCTGCATGGGGTAGTGTTTTGTTTACTAAGTGACAAAGATAAATATTTAAACTGACTGTCCATTTCTCCCCTATTCCTGCCAGACACTAATGCTAAAAGTGAAAGCCTCTTTGTATGCAGTTTGAGAAATGCAGTCTTTCAAAAATAAGTTGTGAAGGAATAAATAGTTGATGATACCTTTTTTTAAATTATATTTTATTATTTTGCCATAAATTGTAGTATTAGTCTTTATGATTTTAGTCTTTGTGGACTTGGATTATCTTGTTAAGAAAACAACTAAATGCGTTGAGATTGAATGCACTTTTTCTCTCCTGACTTACATGGGGAGAAGACTCAGGGTTGCTTGGTGCCTTAGCTGCATTTCCTTGCCAACTTAGGTTAAGGTGAAACAATGAAAATAATAATGGATTGTAGTGCTTATACTGAAAACACTGCCATGTGTTTTTCAGCTGATCTCACAGTGCTTAAGGAATTTAAAGTCTTGGCTTTTTTTCGTGCTTTTCATATTGATTTTTAAAATATTTGCCTCTGTATATAAATTTAAGGTGGTGTTTTGGGCCATATTCGGATGGCTTATATTCCCTCTCAAACCTTACATTTGTTGTTCCCTATTTGCTGTTCTTAGACCCTCAGAGGTACTTGGCAAGTATGGGACACTGAACGTTGGGATGCAGATAGAACTTAAACCATCTGAATATTTCTCTTCAGATGCATAAGTAATACTTTCCTGTTGTAGTAACTGGAAAGAGAGGAAACTTATCTTCTACCCTTTTGACGTAGCAATTATAACTATAGTTTGATATTTTACAGGTTCTTTCAGAACGATCTAATCCTGAAGTAGACAATTTTACCAAGCCACCTCCATTTTTCCCTCCAGGAGCTCCACCTACCCACCTTCCACCACCTCCTTTCCTCCCACCCCCTCCAACTGTCAGTACTGCTCCACCTCTGATTCCCCCACCAGGTAAATATTCTGCACTACATAGGATGTGAAAAATGTGAAATGCATTATCCTCAAATGCTTGATGATAAGGAATTAAAGACAGCACATTCCATGCACGTTTGTCTATATGTGCAGAATTTCAGACTTTTGTGTTCTTCTCTTTTCTTAAATATATCTGCAAGGCAGAAGCAGAAACTTGTATTCAGCTTCTCAGTACGCGTAGTGCCAAGTAGTAAACAATTACCTAAAGACTAAGTGTTGGATCTTGTGTCCTGGAAAATTATTGAAGTGAGAAGCTGTTTTCTGTAATTCAACTACTGTTCATGCTATTGAGAGGTACATGTTAACAAATCATTCTACAAACTTTTGTACTCAAAGTATGGCATACTATGTATTTGTGTTAGAAGCTGGATTCTCTGATGTGCAAGGTCAAAGCAGCAATGAAAACTTTAATTGCCCTTTCCCCTCCCAGTATGTATGAATTCCTGAAAGTCTGGTAAGAATTGCATTTGTGCCATATCCTTTCTTTCAGTCAGAGGGTAGCACCTGATGTTTTTATCCAGCATCCTGTGTCTGTGAATCTTGAAGGAATCAAAGCTCTTTGAGAACTCTTCTCATTGTTAAATCTGTGTTGAAATCTACTGATAATTGCTCAATATTTAATGAAACTGGATATTTATGGAAATTTACCAGGGGTATTGTCACGGGCATTTGCCCAAGTACTGCAGTTACCCGAGTGTTGTCATTTTAAGGAATTAAGTTCAAAAAGACGTAGCAAAGAACGAAGAAGAATGGTCAGTCAGAAATGAAAACAGAGGGAAAAACTTTGGGGAGTATTTGAGTAGGAAAGCAAAGGATTTGTTTATAGAAGAGGCTGATTTTCCTTATTTTGTCCTTTTGTTCCTTGTGCTCTTTTGCTTGATTAGTTCTGGAGTTATGCTGAGAAGTTTCTTTGCTATTCTGTTCACAGGAAATCTTTTAAAAAATTATCTTTTACCTATAGGCAGGGAAGTAACATTGTTATTATTTCTGTGAAACAACTTTGTGTGGGGCTTTATAGAGTTTAAATCCGCATAGAAGAGGTTGCTTACTTGCCAGTGATTTTAAAACTATTAACTCCTGCTGCCTGGTAAGCTCTGGCTTTCATCAGTGATTGCCGTACTCAAAGTGGTGCAACCTAGAAAACAGAAGGGGGAAGAGATTTAAAGATTAAATAGTTTTGTGCCCTTTTCCAAATTTTCGTGCACAAATATTAAAAAACAGAGTGAAGAGAGAATATGCTACTGCTCTGGCAATTTTGTGATGTTTCCTTACTGCGGGGGGGACAGAAAGGAAAGAGGAACATGACGCTAATGCTAACTATGGTTTTAATCTGTATTGAAACCTTTATGATACAATGATATAGGTAATGCATTGCAAGTTTTTCGAAAGTAATTATTTTAATTGTAATTGTGGTACTGAAAAGTCAATCTAAGTTGTACATTATTAAAAGCGTGAGAGGGACCCCCACAGGCATCCCAAATGCACTTGGTGCAGGGATGTCGTATAGGTGTACTGGACTGTTCTTACGAAACCCCTCACCTGTTGAGCTTTTAAAGGTGAAAGAAATCCACATGTGTTACAGATCTATCTAGCAAGCAGGTTTGGCTTTAGTCTTGTGGTTTACAGACAGGTTTATAACATACACTTGTTCAGAAGGTCTCCTTCAACATCCTTCCGTGCTTCGAGTAGATTTGAAAGTAACTATTAAGAGCTGTGGATTTGGTTTCTTCAGGCCTATGTTTTAATTGTGCTGTTGCCAGCTCTTTATCTTCAAAGCTGTTCTTAAAATAGAATCTGCCATCCCTCCTAGGTTCAGTGGAGGGGGAGGAAAAGACCTACTCTTACCCAATATTAAACCGGGACTATTTGCCAGAAAATTTAAGTATTCCAAATATAAAACATCCTCCAAAAGCCCCTTTGAAAAAGGAACTTGCTTTGAAGTGAGATCTCTTGTTCTGAATTCATTCAGTCTTGTGATTGGGATCTGTTTTGAGGAATGAGTCCTGGAACAATTCAAAGGGCCAAATGCAGAAAATTCTCAAATACTGCTAGGAGATCACTGGCTGTGGCAAAAAATGTGTTGGTTTTTTGTTTGCTTGTTGCTATGTTGGAGTAATTTTAAATCTAAAGAACGTGGATGCTTCTGTTTAACAGGCTTTAAAAGTTGTTTTATGTGTTTTGGTTTAAGAGTGTGGTTAAAATGTGACATGTATTTGTGATACTAAAAAAAAAAATGCTCTGAAGTATTGAACTACTGTTACATAACTTTGGGAAGTTTGACTGCATAGACTAATACCAGGGTTCGGCACGTAACTGTACATATGCTCAGCCCCAGCAATCTAAGTGTGTACTTTTTATCTTGTGACAAAGGAGAGAGAATTTGACCTAGTGTAGCCTGTGGCAAAATAAGTTTTTACACCAAGTTGAGTTATATTACATTGCTGTGGGCTATTACGCAGTTCACTTAATTTGGAGTATGTTGTTAAACTGTGGCAGCGTTATCATGTTAGATTCCTTACTCCACAAGCAGAGCACGTGGCGTTGCTTTTCTTTAGTAAAACTTACTTGGTTTTCTGTAAATATTTACCAGCCTTGAGTTTAGTAGGATGTCATACAATGTCCTGAAAGCAATTTTGAGCACATTAGGTAAAATGCTGCACTAATTCCCTTTGGATTGCTTTTGACACACAAGTCTGAATATTTAGGTTTAGGCCAAGTGTATCTTTGTGGCAGTACAATGTGTTGTGGGGACATGACATCTCTGCTGTCACCTTCTTGCACTGGTACTCAAGTTTCGTCCCTACATTGCAAGAAATGACTCAGCATTTCAGAGTCTTTTTTTTCTTTTTCGGAAGTGATTGGCTGATAACACTTCAAGTATATTTTCATACACTGCGGTAGTAGAAGGCAATGGAGGGGGATTAAGAGATTCTTAGCTTTCCATGAAATGAAGTTTTTTATTTTTTTTTTTGTTTCTTGTTTTGTGTCACATTTGTGTCTTAGTGAAGAAGCTGAGGGGAAAAAAACCTTTGTTTAGATCTTTTTAGTGGTACTTGCCAACTTGGAATGTAGAAGAATGTTTCTTCCATTATCATACCATCAAGTAAATTAGCTTCTGTCTTAAAATTATCTAATCATTAATCATGAGTTTTTAAATGTTCTTAAAGATTTTTGAGGAAAAAATGCCTGTGTGGTTTTTTTTAGTATAATGCCCTGCATTAACCAGTTCCTTAAAAGTTATTTGGACATTTGGTCTATGGATATCACTTGTATCCAGTCTGTCTGAATTTTGTTTGAATGGCTCTCAAGTGAATTTTTTTCATTTGGCCTTTAATCTTGTGATGAGATTTTTATTTGTATTTCTGCACAAGTTAAAATTCTGAAGAACATACTGATTTTTTAATTAGGCTTTCTTCCTTTTTGTAGAGAGTGTTAGCTGATGGCTTTCTGGGCAGTTCTGTACATAGCACTGAGAGCCATGTTCAGCCTTAACAATGCATTGGTTTTAGTGCAGCAAGTGAAATATTTTTAAGCATAAAGTAGAGCTAATAAATTAATAAATCTGAGAGAACTTCAGATATTTTTGTAGGGTATGCTCTTAACATTGCTGTTAAGAGGTATTTTTTATATATTTTTATATAAATATTTTCTGTGTTGTAGGCTCATGAAGAATCTATTAAGATGGACAATTAACCAAAACAGATGAACAGAAAATACTTAAGCTCTGCAACAGTTTGAGTCCCCAGTCTTCCTATTCTTTCAGAAATTTTCGTTAGGAGCATTTGATCTTTTAGATGTTACACTGTCAAACTTTTGATGATGGGATTTCAGTGTTCTTAACAATGATGGCCCACATTAGAAAGCTTGTGTGCTGGTGAAGAGAAAATGCCTCATGCAGTTTAGAAATCTGGCTTTTGGGGTTCACTGTCTCCTAATTTACATTTTGGTTGAGAGGTTAGACTTTATATCTCAGGATTGGACAGCAACCTCAATTTTGTTTCACAGTTTGTTTAATCCCGTAGGATTAATGCTGGTAAGAGTTCATGTCAGTGAAATCACCAGCATTTAGTTTACATTGATATTGACTACTCTTCCTCAGCTTGCATATTCCTGTATTCTGTCCTTCTGCCAAGGCAATTTGGGAGCATTTGGCATTTCTAGATATTATAATATGTAGATGTAGTTAAATATTGCTGACAGACAATAGTCTTTTAGTTCTAATGTTGAACATAAAATTAATCATGCAGTGGCCAGTACATCTAGAATATTTTCTGAATTATGAAGTCTGGAGCTTGAATGAGATGTGTTTTAATTTAATTGGGTCTGGCTGCTGTTTTGTCTGGATGTTCATGCAGTTATGACAAAACTGATGCAGAGATTTCTGTTCTCTCCCCTCTGAAATCTTGCAGTGGGTTGTCAGATTGAAAGTGCTTATTTTTTAATGGAAGCAGAGTTCCTCATAACAGAAGGAGCTTTATGCCTGGTAAAGTAGTCTGTTTTCTGACGATAGTGTTTACCCCAGTCTATTATTTTAATGTAACTGTATTTTATGTGTTCAATTGAGTTAAAGCTAGTTATTTGCAAAGTAAGAGAAGATAATGTCCTTTAAAGTGTACAAATTATTTTTACCTTGTAATTGTTCCTTTCATAATCAAGTAAGATAGGTTTATATGTTGAAGCAGTGCATTTTGTTAGGCCAGGTAATTTAGTTGGGAATGATTTCTCAGCTTTTAATTAGGTTTGTAACAGCTAAGCTAGGTCTGAAAACGAGACAAGTTGGAACAGTTTTTGAATGTGTTTATATTAAAGGGTGCTCAGATATTTACAAGAACATAGAGTACCAAACAATTTTTTTCCCTCCAAGTAGCAACTGAATGATTAATTCCAGTGTGGCATATCATTTACTGAAGAGTCTGTAATGCTTACTGTTGCCAGAATATTTTGTCTGTGTGGATTTACTGTTTGCTATACTAAGCTATTAAAGGTCAGAGGCCAGTTGTGTTTCCTTTCATCCAGTCACAGAATATAAAATAAAGCAAATACATTCTATGGGATGTTACTTGCCTTCTGCATACTAAACATTTTAGAGTTATGGATTTAATTCTGATCTTGAGACCCAGAGTAATTCGTCATGATTCTTATTTCTAATTAAATAAGATCCTGGAGAATAAAAAATTAAATAAAAAGACAGATTTTACAAAGCTTGCGTAAAATCTTAACAATTGGTATTAATGTGAGATCTTGATCTGAGGACACAGAAAATAATTTATCATTCTTCTTGATCAGGTATGTAGTGATAGCTCAATCTGATTCTAGATCTACAGACAATAAACAAATTATTACTATAACTGATGTATTATTTGTTGTCTTTTTAGGTATACCAATAACAGTACCACCACCAGGTAAACTTGCTTAGAATTTTTTTCCACATTTGGTTAAGAAATGAAAACTTGGCTGCTGTGCAACTTACCAGCTTCCTTTTAATTATGTAGATTAAAGTGCATAAATAAAAAACGTTTTGTATAGATGTAGGCTCAGGTTTTTTTGATGCCAGGCAGGAAAGAAAATATATGAAAATGTTGTTGACTAGTGAACATAATGAGCCAGTTTCTTAGATGTGTGCTTCCTTCTTTTCTTTCTATTCTTTTTTTTTTCAGCTCTGCAGAAAGTGGTTGTGATTGTTGTTTATTAAGTATTGTTAGATACTCGGGAATTTTCCCATGCTTCTAAATGACTGTAGATTTAAGAATGATAAGGTATTTGATTTGAAGCACTGATAACATATGTTTAATACTTTGCCTTTGTTAAGCTGGAAAGTAGTTCTCAGTCTTACGAAATAAAACCCATGTACACAGTGAGAAACAACTTTGGCGTTGTACTCTAGAATTTGTTTGCCATTGTACACTTAGCCTAGCTATTTTATGTGTTTATGGTGGGTTTTTTTCTTTTTTTCCCCTCACCTAATTTTTTATTACAGGCTTTCCACCACCACCTGGCGGTCCTCCACCTTCCCTCATACCCACATTAGACAGGTGATTATCTGTTTGAAATCTTATAAAGCAATATGTCAGTATTCTGTAACTAAAATAAATTAGTAAGGATTCTTACAATACCCACTTTGATGGATTTTGTCTAGGAGTGGGGAGACAGTTTCAGATTTTTACAGTATTTTTACAGAGATGTTACTAGTCTCACCTGTCTGACACTTGGTATTCTTTTGAGTAGGCTACTTGACCACTTACCAGTTTAGTTTGAGTTATGACACTATATCAATGCCAAGTCTTAAGAAAAAAGTCAAGGTAATGATTGTTAAAGTATTCTTTAGTAGTCTGAAGGCTTATTTAGGTATACTTGTGAGCTACTGTATTCTTTTCTATAAATGCAAATAAATAATTTGGCCACAGATTCAAGCCCTCATAAGATATAGGAAATGCCAGAGTTCCGTGGAATTCAAATTTGTATTTCTACTATGTTTGTTCTAAGTGTTTAGCTTTAATAGGCCTAACAGTATTTTTTCAGTATCTTTTTTATATACATGTACACGTATACATTTATTTTTATATGTATGGAAAAGGAAGAAAAAAAAGTTGGCCATCACAGTCCTTGAAAAGTATTTATATTTTGCTAGAGGCCAAAACCAAGTCATATACAAAGCTCACTTAAGAAAGTGGTGCAAGCCTTTTGCAAGTCCTTTGGATTTCACTGAAGGAAGGTGCATGCATATGTTCCTTTGAAACTAAAAATTCCGTTAATATATACGCTACAGGATGGTGATAGTAAATCTCCGAGAAAATCCTCATCTGATATAATTCAGAAAAAATCCTAACTGGATGCATTTGATATACATTAAATTAAATTAATTATTTCATACTGACGGTTTCTGGGAGTGACTGCTGCTTCTGACTGTTAAGCAATGGTCATTGCATTTACTTGTGAGTATTTACCTGGTTTCTGAAATATAAGGTGGAAAAAATCAAGTTTATCGTGGAAACTAGGAACCTAAGTCTCATACTTTCACGTGTTAAGATGTTGCATTGACCTTTCATTATCATTGGTTTGGTTTTGTTTTCAAGCTAAGCTAACCCAAAACTTATTTTGTAATGTTAAAGTGCCTTCAAAAACAGAAATAACACTTAGGTTAAATACTGCAAAGATAATTAATTCAAGTTATGTAGCAAGTGTAGCAAGTGCTAAAAGTCATGAAAGAATTATATATGTATGAATTATGTCCTGTGCACATATAATCCTTTTTAGCCTTTCTGATTTTTACCTACTGGAGTTGGCTACTACTGAAGGAAGGCAGCCTAGAAAATGTGTAGCTAATTTAATGGTTTATTTTTAGAACTATGCATTTGAAGTGCACCTGTTCTTAGATGTACTCACATATGTACTTTTTAATAGAAGGAATTAGAATAGTTTCATTCATGAACGAGCCACTTTCAAGCAACTAGAGATTAAGTTCATTATCTTCTTTTGTACATTATTATGTGCAGAAACATAATACAAGAAACCTTTGAAATAGAAAATTAATTGAAAATACAAAAAAAACAGCTTTGATATGGATATTATTTGTTTAAATTTTAGGAAGAGAGAATACTGTTTTCATCTCCTGTAGTGAAACGTGAAATACACGTGTGTGTTGATAGACAGCTTCCTTAATTAGTGATGCTCAAAATGAAGGACTTAAATCCATTTAAAACAAATAGTTTGTTTTAGTCTGTATGGTGGTAAGAATTTGGGGAAATAATATTAATATTGATGGAGATAGCTTTGGTGGTAAAACTGGATTTTTACATGTATTTTCTTTTCAACAGTGGACATTCTTCTGGCTACGATGGTCGTTCTGTTCGTGCGTTTTCCTATGGCAGTGGTGAGTAAGCTTGCTGGCTTTGAAAGTTTTGACTAGTGCTATATCAAATTGTTTGATATGCTTATCAGGATTTTAACTAAGAGACTAAACCGTTCCTTTCAGTAATTCATTATGAAAGCTTATCGCCTACCATTGTAAACAGATACATACTGTTGCAAATTTAACAGCTGTTGGTAAATACTGTTGTTTTGCTTGCTTATTTGCATGCTGGCTATCTTTCCATGCTGTTTTTGCAGAGCTGTGATTCTGAAAAATAATACACTGTAATGTGGCCAACAAGTCAGGGAAAATTTTCCAAGAACTGGTAGGATTTAGAAACAGGAGAACAAGTGCTGTTGATATCATCAGTATTTTAACCAGCAAGACCAATCATGGAGAAATCCTGAGTGATATACCTCTCCTTTGAAAAACTGTTTGTCTAAGATACTATAATCTTCAGCTATCCTGTTGCAAAGTCAGTCTTTTTTTTCTTTTTCTTTTTCTTTTTTTTTTTTTTATTTTTTTTGTTAATGTTATGGAAGACATCTGAAGCTGAAAAACATCACTGTCTGGTTTTATAGTAAGAGTGAACCAAAATAGAAGTTTCATTATGTGCAATCAAATGGACGTCCAAAGAACCTAGCAGTTTAGAACTGTTACCTAGCACAGCTCTGCTTCTTGAGCCAAAAGAGTAAAAGCAATACTAGGATGTCAGCTTCTTCCTGACCTAGCCCAAATCGGGAAGATAAAATAATCGTAGAGTCACAGAATAGCTTGGGTTGGAAGCAACTGTCAAAGACGAACTAGTCCAACCCCCCTGCCGTAAGCAGGGACATCTTTCACTAGACCAAGTTGCTCAAAGTCTCGTCCAACCTGGCCTTGAACACCTCCAGGGATGGGGCACCCACAACTTCTCTGGGAAACCTGTGTCACACCACCCTCATCATAAAGAGTTTCTTTCTTATATCCAGTCTACCAACCCTTTTACAATTTAAAACCATTGCCCCTTGTCCTGTCACTACAGGCCCTGGTAAAAAGCCTCTATCTTTCTTACAAGCCTCCTTAAAGTATTGAAAGGGCTCAATAAGGTCTCCCCAGAGCTTTTTCTTCCCCAGGCTGAACCTGAAATTACATTTTTGAATGCCTTGTAATTTCTTGAAATTGGAGCGGTTTGTGGAGTAACAAGTGGTACTTTCTTGACATTGAAAGGATCCTCATCAGTTGTAATGTGTTTGCTTTCATGCATGGAAGCTTCTTAGGTTTTCAAGAATTCTTGATGTGGGCAAATAGCAGCTTTACACTAACTACTTTTTTAGCAATAATTGAACTGCATTTGTTGAAGAAAAAAGGTAAAGTTGAGGCAGATAACTAAGATACCTAAGTGACTATTTTGCTGAAGCTTCAAACATCTAGAGCCATGCAGAGTATCATAAGGAAAGCAATCTTACAGTCAGTAATATGTACATTGCATCTAATATGTAGTCTCCAATTTAGAATTTTTTTCACTTTGGAATCTCTTTTGTTAGAATTTGCTATTCTGTCGAGTGTTTTCAGGGACACAAGAATATTTCCAAGTTTTATGTTGACCTTCAGAGGTGATGCTTATATTGTTGCAGTACCAGTATTCAAAAGATGACTGTCATCGTGATCATGGCAACACTGAATTTTAACTTCTCAAGTAGGATTAAAAAATTATGTTGCCTTTGTGCGGTTATGGAGGCAAAGGAGCACAGTCTGCTCCCATCTTCCCAGTGTACCTGGCTTCCCTGTTGTGGCAAAAGCTTTCATATTTGCTGCACAAAGCAAATTGTCTGCCTCTAGGCTGGGCCTGTCATGTGGATTTATGGATCTGTAGAGGCTCGGTGGCATTTTATTGCTGATGTTCATATCTTAGTGAAAGATGTTTTTCTGGCCAGCATCTTGCTTTCACAGTCCCTGTCTCACAATGTGATCACTGATCAGTATATTACCAGTGCTCGCTGTGCAGCAGAACTTAGGTAAATTGGAGGCTCAGTGGCGCAGTACGGTATCACAGAATCACAGAATGTTAGAGA